TCTTTTCTTAGTAATTGGTAGTTTAGCTATGTTATCACTTACCTCTTTCACCATTTGCTCTACTTCATCCTTCTTGGGATTTGCTATAATGGTGTTGTTATTATCATCTGCGGATTCAGAGTCGGAACCCTCACCTATATTTAAAGGCTGAGGTAGCTTAGAGCTCTCTCCGAGTACATCCTTCTCTTTCACCACTATGTTTTTGCCAATGGCATGCTGTACACTTGACGCATTGTCCGCCACGGAGGTCAAGGTACCCACCTCCGTAGTATTATTTTGCTCACGATTGCAGGATGACGACGACACGTGACTCGCGAGTGGATCAACACTTGCCGCCGGTACTGGGTTATTTAGGCCCTGCACCGTAACTTTTAACTTTTTATTTTTATTTTCCATGTTGTTTTTTTTCCAGTTTTTTGGTCCGCGGGGAATATAATATTCCCAGGTGGCGGACAATCTGCCCTCCTTCAGCTTGAGTGAAACTAAAAACTGGGGGAAGACAGATGGTCCATCACCACCCCCTATCCGCCACCCGGGGACGCGCTCGGTAGAAAAAACGGGAAAACTCCCCCGAAACTTCTCGAATTATTGACGATTCGGATCCCGAAGATATCTGGGGTCTTCAGAAAACTGATTTCAACAGACTATCTATAAAGATTCAGATTATATATACTTTATAGGGTCGGAAAATTATATTGTGGAAATTACAAACGGAGTGACAAACTTATATACACCCTTCTCACGAAGGTGAAGGGTATAACAAGAAGTATATATAGTATTCGCCTTTGTCGAATATTATACACCCTCACCATAGTGTGGTTAAAAATGATTAATATTATAAAATTTCAATTTATTTAATTTTTCCCGACTTTACTAGTACTTTAGCAGTAGCAAAACAAACGAAACAACAACAAGAACGCTAAACGATATAAAGCACAAAAAATAAACAAAATACACAAGGCAATGTAACGAACCGTTTTTTAAGCATTGAGTTATCACGGGTCTGCACACCTAGCTATGTTTCAGTCTAGCTCAGTGGAACGGGCGTAGGCTGTGATAACATGAAGGTTACTATTACTATAATTTAAATATTTATTGTGTGCAGTAATAATAAAAAGAAAATACAATTGGAGTAGCAAACAAAAAGGTAATTACACTAGTCTGTGATATTTCTGCTCATGGGTGATGAAGATGTAAATTATCCCCAAGGTCATTTTCTTTCCCACCCAACCATGCTGATGACCATAATTTTCATTCAGCCCACTTTACTGACAATTACTTTATTTCTCTACCTTTCATTAACCTTTGAAATTATTCTAAGAAATCATATTGCTTTCACAAATTTATTAATTAACAAATTTCATAATTAAGATTAAGTAATAATAATAAAATATAACTTAGTTAAAACATATTATTCACATATTTGGAAACTTCTTACAAAATGTAGAAATTTATATTAGGGTTCATTCCCTTGTTATTGACAAAATTACTTCCAAAATTAAAAAAAAATCACAACAAACAAATAATATCAGATCTCAAATTGAAGAGATTGATAAGAGTACATACAAAACCGTATGCAAAAATAAAATTGGAAAAAAATTATGGGAATTCTATTAATAACTGGAGTATTTTTTCTTTTTCATTAATTTCTTTGTATTTCATTCATCTTTTTAAAATTAAATTATGTCTCAGATATTAATAGTATTCTTCCAATAAAATCTAAAAATTTAAAAAAAAAAAAAAAAAAAAAAAAAATACTACTAGCGATGTTGTTCTTATAATTTAGTAAACTTACATAGTATTATTGTCCAACGCAGTCAGCAGGCCTGTTGATTGATGGATACGTGAAGTACTAGTAAATTATTTTAGGGTGTTCGGTTATGAATTATTTTTGCATGAAGTTTTGTTAGTAATAAATTATATTGATAATTTTTAAATTAGAGGTTAAATAATTTTATATTTAAAATGTAATTAAATTAATATTAAAGGAGGTTATATGATTCGGTATAAAAGTATGTTATTAAGAGTTTGGTATTATTGTAAATTTTTCAATATGCAAATCTGGTTAAGTGATATTTTAGCACAAGTTTAAGGAAATTAAAAGAAGTCAACTATGAATTAGTTATCGGGTTAGTGGCTAAATTTAGATTATCTATTTTTATGTTTAGCTTAATTGGTAATTTGTGATTTTAAATTTAGAATTATGGATTAAGGAGATAAATTGGCAATATGTTCAAGGAGGTTTAGTTTTAGGCTAGAGAATGTCCACAGTGTTAAGCCATATGGAAATTTCCACACGTGTTCAGATCACACAAAGATCTAATTTTCGGTCCTATATTTTTGTCTTTATACTTGGTCACCATCACAAGTTATATAACACTGATGACCCATATGGGTTTAGACTGACTGGAACCATATAACTCCGCCCAATGTTAGAGGCTTGAAGGAGTTTCTGAATTAGGTACAGGTGGTACGATCGTTCATATGATTTTCTGTAGGGAACAGTGAGATTCAGGAGTTATTAACCTCGTAGTACTCATATTTAATATGAAATACTTACTGCGTTGTTAATATTCAGATAGCATGGGATCTCAATAGATTCTCCAAACACGTGTACTTGAAATCACCAATGGGAATCGGAGACTACGTAGGAGTGGTGATGACACGCCACAATTTACACTCTACCGATACTTAAAATATTATTCGTGGTAAAATCGATATTATTATTTCTAGATGATATTGAAATAATTGTATGATGTAATACTATATAATAGTCTAAATAAATTGTGTAATAGTTAAGTAAATTTGATGCGTATTTCACGTTTTGCGACTCAGACCAGAATATTTTATTAAAGAATTTAAAGAATGTGATGTAGGTAGGCAGGTAGCTCGAAGTCGGATGTAACAACAACAAATACTTGACGCGTAGTCTGCTCTTTTTCATTCTTTGCATCTTATTTGAAATAAGTATTTGCTCATTTCAAAGGTATTCATTTGAACAATTATTCAAGCAATATTAATATCCGTTAAGTTTAAATTCGTATGTATAGATCTACCCATCACAACACATTCTAATATACGTTTTTTAAATAAAATGTTGTTGTTGCTTTTTTATTAAAGCATGAGCTTTTCAATAAAAAACAATACACAAAACAACATACATCCAAACATACGTTTTTTTTTTTCAATACAATGTTGTTGTGTTGTTGTTGTATGTAGAATTCCTATTTTTTATAAAATTTTCAGAGGTTGTCTTGGATTTTTGCCCATATCTCCGTTATTTATGGACGGATTTTGCTGATTTGGAGATTTGGATCCCAAAATTTTTGTTTTTTAAATTCTCGTTAACTATTAAAGATATCGTAATTTTGTAAATTTTAACAAAATATTCATAGGCGAGTTCCAGAGTTCTATTTTTTAATCGACAAAAAATCAATAATGAAAACAATATATCTACATAGATATTATACGGAGTAGTTTTCAAAATATAAATTTAACTAATTTGAAACCCTATGTAGCTGGTATAACTTATTATCTTATTAATAACTAATTTTTTTAAGATAGTAATGATATCGGACCAGAAACATAATTATTACATAAGACTTTTTAATATCTGTAAATATGGTTTTCAGTCCACAGGATCATTTTTCAACAAAGCTGCTGAGAAATCCATCTCAGTTTTGGTTTTTGAAAAATTACACTGTGTGACAATAAAAAACACTCGTTACGCGATATAATGCTTTTTATAGATCTAGATGAGTAGATCATTTTACCATTTTTAGAATCTTCAATATACCCTAAAAATCGGAAGATATTGAAAAAGCGCTTTTTGTTGACTAGACAGACCAAAAAAATTATATCTCAAAATGTTCTTAACCGATTTAATATTTTTCAACTGCTTTGAAAAGAGTTTCCTTAGTCCTTTTTAAAAAGTATACACACTTTTATATTTTTTACGGAAATGTGTAAAATATTTAGATCCGAATACAAATTTTTATATATTTTTTCATTTTTTTAACAATTCAAAATCATTTTTGACCCACACTTTATTTGAAAACATATTTTTTATTTTAGCCCATATTTCTATGAATATGAATAATTTTTTTCGTAAAAACAAAAATTTACCAAATTTCTCTTTCCTGAACTCAAGATATGCAACACAAATATAAGCTTTATTATACAAATTGATAATTTACTTTAGAAATGAGAGATTTGGTAAATTTTTTAATTTTACGAAAAAAAGTTATATTTCTGTCAGTTTTATTCAAAGCTTCATATCTTATTTTATTCATAGAAATATGGGCTAAAATAAAAAAATATGTTTTCAAATAAAGTGTGGGTCAAAAATGATCTTGAATTGTAAAAAAATGAAAAAAATTTATAAAAATTTGTATTCAGATATAAATATTTTACACATTTCCGTAAAAAATATAAAAGTGTGTATACTTTTTAAAAAGGACAAAGGAAACTCTTTTCAAAACAGTTGAAAAATATTAAAACGGTTAAGAAAATTTTGAGATATATTTTTTTTGGTCTGTCTAGTCAACAAAAATGGTTTTTTTTTCCAATATCATCTGATTTTTAGGCTATATTGAAAGTTCTAAAAATGGTACTGCAATCTACTCTACTAGACTATACAAAATTATTTATATAAATATTAATATTATTAGACAAATTAAGAATATAATCAAGATGACATTTGGTAATATTTTGCTGAAGCTTGTGACATTTCACATTATCCAATACAAAATATTATTTATAGAAATATTAAAAACTTTTAAAACATTTAAAACCTAAATTTCCTTTTTTACAAATTCTTTATTATTGGTAATATATTGCTGAAGCTTGTGACAAATATAAAAACTTAAGTGATACCAATAATACTGCTCGTAAATGAATAAGAACGAACAAACGTATTCACTATATTTTTCTTGCGTACTCCTTAATTTAAAAGATTTATTGTATTTTTCAATTAAATAACAACACATTTACACTTACAGGTTACATTTCAGTTTATCTACATGGAATCAATTAACACCTACAAATTATGAAGCTTCTTATCGGATGTGTATTCTTTATTTGGAATTAAGAATGGAAAATCATTTAAGTGGTAACAGGTATTAAATGTTAATATTATTTTTTTCACTAGTAAATCCAGTTTGCATTTATTAAATCCAAAAAGTAGTTGGATTAAGTTAATTTCAATATGTCAATGCCACGTATTCATGGAACAAAACCAAAATAAACATGTTTTATTTTGATATTCACCAACCGATGGAAAATATTTTTAAAATGTGTAAAAATAGTAAAATAAACTAAATTTCTGTATCTTATGGCAAAAATTTAAATTATTTTATGAACTTATCTGATTATTAAATGGATTTTAATTCTTAAAAAATCGCTATAGAAGATTTTTTATGCATCGCTTGAAAAAGGAATCTATATATTTTAAAGATACTATTCCTCATTACTTTCATTCGTCGTATTTCCACCGGATAATATCGAGGTCAATTTAAAATTTTTACATCTTCTTAACGAATTCACAGTTTTACAGCTCTACTTAGTTGTGTGATTCAGAGCATTGTCGTGTTGGTAACACGGCAAGAATGAATTTAAAGAAACCCAGTCTTTAAAATACTCATTATGTACTCTAGGGTGGGTCAAAAATAGGATTTTCTCTCGGATCAACTTCTAATAGTGAAATTATGTTGTATTATAACGTAAAATGGAAGACTGTAAAATATTATTCAATTATTAAGAGCCCGCGCATCGCCGCCAAAGTTTGTAATGCATTTATATGGAAAAAATGGCACTTTATGCAGTTTTTTCACAAAATGAGGCTTTAAGTATTATTTATTGCACCATTTTATAGCAAAATCGTAATGTATGCAAAATTGTACTCAAAATTGGTTAAAAAAGTTTTGAGTTATTAAAATTTCCCCCGAGAATTTTGTGATTCTGAAGACACAAAAAAGTAAATATAAGAAATTTTTTTTTAGTTTTAAAAAATTTTCAAAAAAATATTATGTTTATCTTTGTAAGATTCATAAATGTACTAGTATGAATTTTTGTTCAAATTGGATAACGCTTACTCGGCTTAGTCTGTGGTCAAAAAGGGCCATTATTTTAACAGCATCTCCATTTTCAAACTTTAAAAAATTTTTTTAAATGGATTTTAAAAAATTAATGTTTTCTATACTGGATATTATAAAGGAAATATATTAGAATTAACCACAAAAAGAATGAGCTCAATGCCTCTCATAGTTTTACCGTACCTGCGATGAGAAGTTAAAGGATTTGTGGAAAAAGTAATTTTTTGCCAATAATTAAGAAAAAATTATATTATTACAAGTTGTTTCTTAATTTTGATCAAGTAAATTGCGATTAAGGTAATAAAAATTATTTTTTTACGAATATCTTAGTTAATATGCATCGTACGCGTTTGGATGCTATTATAATTTTTATAGAGAAATAAATTTCCTACATTTTTGTAAAATACTTGCATGTTATTTTTTTCGAGCTATAGTGTATTATTTTTTCATAATTAGTATAATTTATATTTATGAGTATAATTTATTTTTTATAGCGTCCTATTACCAATACTCCAATATATTCAAATTCGTTATTGATTTTTTTGAAATGCTAAATACTGATCTACTGCACGCAGTCAAAGTCATCATTTCAAAATATTAAAAGAATTCTATGGAGTCGGCGTTCTATCATTAATTTTATCGTTAATTGTGGAAAGTGTGTAAATAATTCTCAATTACCAAAATTTTAACTTCTTGAAAGCTTCTGAGGAAATGTTACCATTTGTCAATCCTGAGATAAGAAATGAATAGCCTGATATATAGTGAACTAATTTCACTTTAATAAAATTTGTTCTAGGTTACTATCTTATAAGCATTTAAAAATTTTGTTGAAGGAGCATGCAAAGAATAATGTCCTTATCAGACATGTGTTGATTAAAAAACTATCGCGAGTCCCACAAGACTTTCTGAATCGAACAAGTTGGGTTATAAAAGCCCCCTTAATAGTAGTGAATTGGTTAATGACCGCCAAATGGTTCATTTTCGCTCAAAATTTGCGATTTTACTCAACAGTACATTGGTGATTTGAATCATAGTGCATTGCAGTGATATTTTCAAATCTTAATAGCTTTGACGCCGATACTGATTATGTCGCAATTTTTCCTTTTAATATTAGCTAAAGATACATAATTAATTTCTAATACACCCGTTATCACACTCTTGTCCATAGTGCAATGTCTGTCTATCTGAAATTTTCAAGGGTCAAAATTATAAATTGACACTGTCCACTGAACTCCCTTCACAGACGAATTCAACACACTTGTGAAAGTGTTATATTCGGCCTTAGGTATTGCCAGTTAAAGATCAATCTTCATTAAATTCGGAATGAAGAATTATGTTCCTAAGTATAAACTTTTTTTATGTCGATTTTCATTGCTTTACTCGTAATTTTCTGAATCATCCTCATCATATTTATATGAGGGGTTGGCTCAACTATTTACTTATCATTTTGCAGACCGATTTTGCTTCATATAAAACTTGTTTGCATCAAATATCATAGGGGTGGCTTATATGGAGGGTGAGTTACCGACACATTCCGCATAAAATTCCGTAGGAAGATTTACTTTGCTATAAATGTTTCTTATGTCGAATTTCATAACTGTACACTATTTTTAAGGCAGCAAAGATCGTTAAAGCAATTTTCTGAAGGGGACTTTACATTTAATTTGGTAGAGAGATTTTTGTTCATATAAAACTTATGTGTGTCCAATTTCATCGCTTTACTCGTATTTTTAAGCCAGTGATGAGCGTTAATGTCATTTCCTGAAGGGGACCTTATATGGAGGGTAGGGTCAATCATTTTCATAAAAGTCAGTAGAGAGGATTTTGGCTCGCAAGAAACTTACTTATGTGTGGTAGGGTCAATTATGGACAGATCCACATAAAGATTGGTGAAGAGATATGGATCGTAAGAAACTTACATATCGTCCCTGTTTTGAATATTAGTACTATGTGGGTTTTAACAAAGTTTTCAGAAAAGCAAAAAAAACGGGTAAAATTAGCTGTTTTTTTTGTTGTATCGTGTTGCTTAAGAAAAATATGTATCTTTTTGGATTCGTTCACTAATGTAATTAATATGTATTTTGAAAAATAAACGAATTTTTAACGCGTTTTAGCGCAATTCAAAAAAACTCCACATAGGACTTTTTGGAAAACAATTTTTATATTGAAATATTCTTCCCATTTTATATAGAGATTTTAAGATTTCGTTCGAAATTTGGGTTTAGAGACTTTAAGGGGTATATTTGACCAATTATAATACCATACAGCGGATTTCAAATATGTTTAGAAGTTGCAATTAAACTATTAATTTGAAATTTTATTTGGTGGAATTAATCTACCAAAAACGTAGACTAGTTCCACAAAATTTCATAAAAATCGGTACTTTAAATAAAAAGTTTCATAAAAATATTAACGGAAGGACGGACGAGATTGAATCGACCCATAAAGTTATTTTAAGTTGATGAGTGCACCAAAAGGTAGCTGATGATCCATTATTTACGGTATTATATTAACTAATTTAAATAAAATATTATTTTGGCGGATTTATGATTTAAATCAATATAATTTGAAACACACAGGACTTTTTGTTGGAGCATTTAATATATGGAAATCACATACCTGCTTTTGCTAAATCCTAAATTGATTTCTCAATTAAACCATTTGAAAAATTCGCAATTTTTTTGTATTCGCTCTAACATCTTTGCATGCTAATATTTTATCGCGGCTTTATGATTTCAACATGTAAAATTTAAAAGTATTTCGATCACGCGATATTTTGGGTATATTGAAGTTACGCTGTCAGTGTGCTTCGCGAAAAAGCCCTTTTTCCGAAACTTTCACGTTTATTTTTGCAATATTTAAGCTTCTCCCACAGTGATATCTTCTAGAGCACATTTTTCTTATTTCTAAAATTTGCATAACCGACGGGCCGCAAATATTCTATCCATAAAACTGCAAATTTTGTAAAATTGTATAAATTTGGTTTTAAAACTTTGCGACCACGTAATTATTTACTTATAAATGGCACAATAATTAAATATGGACTATTCAACAAGGGTATACAGCCTACATTAGCCAAATTGACTTTCTCTGTTGTAAGTTGCCCTCATAATATCCAAAAGTTATGAAAAAACTTGTTGGTTTCAATTAGTTTTTTGAAGAGTAGTGCTCTTTCGAAATTCTCCAATATCGAATTTAGTTTTTCTGAGCATAGAGTTAGGTAGGTAGGTAGGTTGATAGGAGGATGTATACTACATTAAATCCGAAGAAATACACCTAGGCCATTATCGGTCCTGTTGTGCGCTCCTTATCATGAAAAAAAGGGAACTGAATGAATTATTTTTCAGTTTTTATAAACTCAGTTTCCTGAACGTAATTCCTAAGAATCTTCCAATCGCTGTTTGTCAGGAATGTTATTTCCGGAATAACATCACTTCCAAGATACTTGGATCTAACTTCGACGAATGCCTGACAGTGGCAAAGAAAGTGCTCCAGAGTTTCACTGTCCTCTCCACATGCTCTACATTCGTCTGAATCCGCACGTCCAATTTTGCATAGATGTGCTCGTAATCCTGTGTGTCCACTCAGAATACGTACCATCATACTAACTTCAGACTTGCTCATTTTGAGGAGATTTTTCGTCTTGCTCTCATCAGGGTCACCCCATAGGATCTTTGTGGTTCTACCCACTGTTTCATTATTCCAAGAGGCCTTATGGAATTCTCTCACCCATATTTTTAGTTCAGCTTTTGTTGCGTCGAATGGTTTCGCGTTTGTCAGGTTAACTGTCTCGAGCTCCCTACCCTTTAAAGCTATTACATTCGCCCTTTCGTTACCGACTACTCCCGAGTGGGCTGGTACCCATATGATGTGAACCTTACCTCTGGGAGAGTATTCAGTTAAAGCTTTCTTACAATCCAATACGGTCTTAGATTTAGTTCTATCGCCTAATATCGCCCTAATTGCCTTCTGGCTATCGGTAAATATATTAAGCGCTGTGGGCGCCATATTTATTCTAATCCAAT